TTAAAAAATTAATTTGTGAAACCAAACCTGAGCAATCCATCTTTGTCCTTACTTGCTAGTAACGCAATCCTCTATTTCGTGAGTAATTATTGTGCTCTCCAAGAATTGCATATGACCAAAATATCCATTTTTAAAACTTCACTATGCATGGCCAAAAGGGTCATTCTTGATCAGTCTCACCATTTCCTCCAATCAATTAAAGCAATTTCGCAATTCCATTTAGCAATGCTTCAATCTAATCTCATTATTGTGATATGCTATGAAGAAGCAGAAAATTTGACTTGTCCCATCCAACCTAATTCACTAGAAACATATGGATGATTTAAAACAAAACCATACCTTAATACAATCTTGAAATGTAATTAGAAATCATATCGGATGTAATATCAAACTAGTCTTATAAGGATAGTATAATTAAACTCACAAAATCCACTGCATTTTGATTAGGTCTTATTTCTCTTATAATTCAATAGTACATTCAACTTACCTATCCGTTATTGGAATAAGCATTTATGATCAAGATTCAATATATTATATCACCAATTTTAACAATTAAATATTATTTCTTTTACTAAATTATTAATAGCATTATATACTTGTATATATTTTTATGTATTTCTGCTTGCACATAAGTGATTTGAATTGAATTGAAATAGAGACTAGCATAATAAGAAGTATTTAAAGTTAGGAGTGGAAGAAAATGACTAGTCTAACTTCAAGGAGAAGTGAGAGCACCCGACCTCAAAAGAAAGGTTCTTATGAAAGAGTTTAAAGAAGAATACTAAGATGAACATGAGAGTGTGAAAACATATAACATCAATCTCATATAGGATTTAAAAGTACAAAAATATGAACATTACATGGTTATTTACATGAAGAGATTAACCTAATGAAGGTATCAAAATTCAAACTTGAAATTCAAATTCAAGAACCAATTCTTCTCTCGCATGTACTAAACGTGCATCAACTTCTCTAGATAATGTTCTAGCTAATGTGCTATTGGATCTAGCATATTTAGCATTTGCAAAATGTGTTTTAAATGGCTAATTAGAGAGAAGCTTTTCTATGTGTGCAACACATGGATAAAAGAGTATACTAATTAGGAATTTTAAGACACATTCAAGTTACATGTGGATTTAGGCCTAATTTACACACATTATCAAACACAAGTCCACCTATATTACTTAACTCAACTACAAGCACAACTTATTCCTATTATAAACAATGGAGTGACCTAATGTTTAATTTCACTAAGTGGTGGCGTATCTTAATCCTTTTATCTTTAGTATAGGCATAATCATCATGAATTATTCTAGCTATGGCTTAGTGATGGGTCTGTGGTTCAGACTTCTTCATCCCTTCTCTTTTGAGAAAGATTTTCCCTCAAATTTTTAGGTTTTGCCTCATTGTCTCTTTTCTATGCAAAAGGTGTAATATCACAAACATCAAGCATATGTAATATATATGCATTAACATTATCAAGCTTGTGACAATTAATTGTTGCAACTGCAGCTATGGTCTCAATGTTGATGATTACTTCTTTTCCAATCACATTTGATGCCAAGTTATCATTCTTTTTTTGCACATACTTGCAAAACTGCATTATTAGTTCACGCAGGTATTGGCTCATCCCATAAGAAAAAAATTGTGATTATTTTCAACATTAGACAAAATATCATGACCATGTGTTTGGAGTTCATCTAGATTTACCTAGTCCCCAAGGTCGATTCTTCTGGGTTAGGTGCACATAATACTTACACGTTTGGAGTTCATCTAGATTTGCTTGTCTTTAATACTTTATCTTGTTATTTAGAATATGTTGCGATTGTAATTAGTATATGAGAAAATAGAGTTTTAAGTTCAAAACTTTGAAGATGTAGGAGTTACAATGGAATGATTGTTAAGAAGTGAATTTTAAACCTAACTTAGCCCCACAAAACCAACTTATATGGTGAGGTTTGCACCCACTTATATACTCTAAATTGGTCTTATTTCTAGTCGATGTGGGACTTCTAACACATCCCTCACGTCCTGGTATATACATCTGATAGCGACCCGATAACGGGTAGAACAATATGTCCAACAAACAACAAATATCGCTAAGATAGGTCTAATACCATGTTAAGAAGTGAACTTTAAGTTTAACTCAACCCCACAAAAATTGGCTTGTAAAGTAAGATTTGCACCCATTTATATACTATAAATTGACCTTTATCTCTAGTCAATGTGAAACTTCCAACAATAATAAAAAAATATGAAAATCGAAGTCTTTCTTCAAGAAAAATAATCATAATAGACTTATACAAATATTTTGTTTCCAGAAAATAGATTTTGACACTGTGCACCAACAATTCATCCTTTATTAAGAAAAGTAAATAGAAATGAAGGATAATTTTGTCATTATATTATTTAAAGTTAATCGTATAAACAATTATAAACTTGTTCTAATATGTAAGTATAGTTACTTTAATCTTCAAAAATTAAAAAAAAAAGGTGAAAAAAATATTTATTTATATTAAAAAGGTTAAATCAGTCTTATTTAATATATTTGTTTTTTCTTCTTCTCACAAATATAGATATAATTTTACACATAAAAATTAATTTTAACTTTTCCCTAATAAATTTAAAAGCTCTTACTTTCTATTTTATTTTTTCCTTCCAAAATTAAAAAAAAAAACACACAAGAAAACACAAATTTTATGAAACTAAGAAGACAAATGCGAATTTAAATTGAAGAGAGACTTATCAAGAGAGCCGAGCTCAACTGGTTGACCAAGGATTCCTAGGTTGTTTCGGACTCTTGCATTAAGATGAGAATTATAAAATTTTTCTAACGTAAAACAGTTGTAAGTATGGACTAAATATGATATTTCAATATATTTATTTTTCGTTTGGGAGTCAGAACTCTTGGATTTGGCCACATAACCGTATTCTCAACTAAGTAAATACAGCTTTGGCCAAAAGTGCAAATTCCAGGTTACAAATACCACCTCACTTGTCTTCAAAACAGTAAAAACAGTGCCACAAAGCTATTGAACCTAAAAATATGCTGCTTTATTACTTCCAAACACACCATTAGACCTGGTCTACCTGGCGTACACCCATTCAGGAAAAGACCTACAGCTATAAAAGATATACTGCTTAAGAAATAAGGAATGATCACACCTTTATGGTTACATTTACCATAATTAACAAATTAATCTTTACATATTTATTATTAATTCACTGTATTTGAAAAATTGAGAAAAATTATTGATTTAACTTTCAGAGTGTTTTTATATGAACCCATCCTATAACTCCTCTAAGGAAGAAGGAGTGGTATTTAAAGAAGGGAGGACCCACCGTCCGATCGGATCTATGTCACTGAACACAATAGAAGTTATGCCACTCTCACCTTTGTGTATATATTTTCCTAACAACATCACATTCCTCTCTTTAATGAGTCCATTACTCACTGTTTCTCATCTGTTCTTCCTTCTTTTCCCTTTTCTTACATATCATACATTAAAATAATTTTTTAATTACAGACTTATTTAGTTAGATAAAAGAATGTTTGAATTGAAGCTTTCAAATTGAATAAAAGTAAAACTAAAAAAATATAAATAAAAGACTTTTAATATGTTTGATAAAAATGAGAAAATAAAAAATTAATAAATAAAAGACTTTCAACTACCAAATCTTTTAATATTAAGTTGAGAGTGGTATTATATTTTTATGTTTTGTTTATAATTAATTACTATTATATATTGTTAGTATTTAATATTATTATATAGACACATCATGTATCTTAATCCAATTTGGTTCTTACTTAATTACTAACTAATCTCTATTAATTTTTCTATGAAATTGTTACACAGTTTTTTAAATTATTCTAAAATGGAAAAATAAATAAAACTGTTTATATGAAAGAGTTATTACGAAAATAGTTTAAATAAGCTAAAATGAAGATATACTGTTTTTTTACTTGTTATCTATTCCCTTATCTCTCTCTATATAATAGAGCATGAGTCAACAATATACGTGTAAATATAAATTACTTTATTTAATTTAATTCTAATAACATAAATTTAGATAAAAGTAAATCTGTTTCTAAAGTAAAGCATGGCTATAAAATAAGCAGAAATTAAATTTCATCATAAATCTAAAACAAATAAGTTTATATGTTTTATTAATTCAATTGTTTTATGAAAAAAATTGTAATTATCTTAATATAAATAGTATTTAAGTAATTTTATGACATAATATATATATATATATATATATATCATTATTTTAAAATTAAAATCATAAAATAATGAATTTATGAATATTTTTATATAATACTTAACTTTTATATTCACATTTCACAGCAGATTTAAATTCTTATTTGATTATAGTATATTAATTTTTTATAACTTAATTATATATAAATATATATATATATATATATATATATATATATATTATCTAATAACTTTATAATATCAAATTATATATTAAAATTATAAAATAAATTTTGAAATTGAATGGAGTTTTATATTAATGAGTTATTCGAGAAGTTTATTGACACGTGTCGAGTGCTTTTAAGTTCCGAATCCTACGAATTCTACTTTGATGTTTGACCCTTTTGGAAGGATCAAACAAACTCTCACCTAATTGAATAAATTTTAATTATTTATTAACTCGTCCTTGAATATTTCACAGAAATACTGGATGAGAGTGTCAGATAAGTATAAATTTAAGGACTCGTTAGGATGAAAGTATTGACACAACAGTGCACGAGAATGGATGTTACTATTTTTCATTAAATATTGAATACACTGAATGAACCAAAATTATACACCCATAATAGCATGAACAGAGTTCAGATTAGGGATTGAAAAAAGGAATTTTGAAATTAAGTGTGTTTTTTTTTTTATGGAAGCTGAATAGGTATGTAACAATGTTGCAATTATGGAATGCAGGAAAGATATAATATGAAGGGGATGAAAGGGAATGTAGGAAGGGTTTGTGTTTACAGAGAGAGAGATAGGGTTATAGTTATTGTCCCCAAGGTGGTGAAACTGGCAGTTAAAGTTGCTTTCAAAATTCATATCTGGCTGGTCAAAACCCACTTCTACTACACACCGAGAAAGAGGTGGGAAAGGACAAGAGAGGAAGGAGAGAGAGAGAACAAAACCAAACCATGGAGTGAAAAAAATTGACATGGGCACATAGGGATTATAATATTTTATGGTTTTGTCCCTCAATTCTTGCCAGAAACAGTGAAAACTCACGAAAGTTTAGGACTTTTCAGGCCACCTTCTTCAATCAAAGAGGACCCATCATTTCTTTTCCTTTATTATTATTATTATTATTATTATTATTTTTATCCTTTCTCTTTTGTGTGCTGTTGATGGATCCCAAGAGCTCAAAGCAGCCACTGGCACAGGAGGTGGTACCAAACTTTCTTAGCCTTCCCCAACAACAATCGCCACCACCACAACAGCAAAAACAACAAGGTAGCAATAGCAACATGGGAGAGAACAAGCCAGGGGAGATGAAGGATTTTCAGATAGTGGTCAGTGAGAAGGATGAGAGCAAGAAGCAGTTGGCTCCGAAGAGGAGTTCGAACAAGGACAGACACACGAAGGTTGAAGGAAGGGGACGGAGGATAAGGATGCCTGCTCTGTGTGCAGCTAGAATCTTTCAGTTGACCAGAGAATTGGGTCACAAATCTGATGGGGAAACGATCCAGTGGCTTCTTCAGCAGGCTGAGCCATCGATAATAGCTGCTACTGGGACAGGTACAATCCCAGCATCTGCTTTGGCTGCTGCTGGGAACTCAGTTTCACCACAAGGGGCATCTCTTTCATCAGGGTTGCACCATAAGATTGATGAATTGGGAGGGTCCAATATGGGGTCAGGTAGCAGTAGGACCAGTTGGCAAATGGTTGGGGGGAATTTGGGGAGACCCCATGTGGCCACGGGACTATGGCCCCCCCATGTCAGTGGATTTGGATTTCAGACATCCTCTGGTCCATCTAATGCCGCCCTAGGCACTGAGAGTTCAAATTACCTGCAAAAGATTGCCTTCCCTGGCTTTGACTTGCCTGCTGCCGCCACCAACATGGGTCACATGAGTTTCACCTCAATATTGGGTGCTGCGGGTACCCCGCAGATGCCTGGTTTGGAGCTGGGCCTGTCCCAGGATGGCCATATTGGAGTCTTGAATCCACAGGCCTTGAGCCAGATTTATCAGCAGATGGGTCAGGCTAGAGTGCAGCAGCAGCAGCATCAACAACAACATCAGCAAACTCCTGCAAAGGATGATTCTCAAGGCTCAGGACAGTAGAGTTTTATGGATTTTGATGAAAGAAACAAAAAGAAAATAGCATCGTCCACAAGCTGGGGTTTCTACAATGGCTTTGTATTGTATAGTTGGGAGACTGTGAGGAAAAATTAGGTGTCTCAGAGAATTCAATAGAAACTGGATTTGGTTTACCCCCGTTATTGTTCCTTCTCCCCAGTACTCGAGTCTCCAGATACAGGTGCTTCGATAAGTAATTTTTTTACTGTTTTTGTTACTTTTGATATGCAGTTTCCTTTTCTTTTTCTTGGGTTATAGTTGTTGTGTGTTGTTGATGGTGTTAACTTGCAGGTGGAATGGAATTGCATGACCAGATGGATTGGCTTCTTTGATCTGGTCTTAAACTATTGTTTAATTCAGAGGTGTGTTGATTATTTTGTTCTTCTCTATGTCAGGATGGAGTGCTGATCGGTTTGTTTGTGAATTTGATTATATAGTTTCATAATCATATTTGTCAAATTTTATATTGGATCTGGTATAAGTACTTTGTCATCTGGGAAATTTTAATCTTTGTGAGGAACAGCACTTGCAAATTACATCTGTGAATCCGTCAACTAGCAACGCCTTTTCTGTTTCTTAAGTTTGCTTTCATGTTACCATTCGAGTGATTTTCTTTCTCTTAGCGTGCAACTGTGTTGTCTTCCTTCAAAATTCACCACTTGTGAGGAGGATCTTTCCAATTAAAAAATATTCTTTTTCAACTCTGAAAATGGTACGCAATTGTAAAGAAAGTTAAATTTGTTCGTTTTAAGTATTAACATCTGAAGCTCTGCTTCATTCTGAAAAGCACTAAAATTTCCTTTATTTAGCTGTATTTAAACTTAGAGAACTCACTTAGCTGGAAAAAGTCGCATTAATTGTCTTTAATATAACCAAATTCAACTTTAAGCCTCCTTACAGCATCAGCTAAATTCTTTTGCCATTATTTTCTTTCTGTGGAGGTTTAGAGTCTATAATTTTTTATCCACATATTAGGAGGTGAAGCAATTAGAATGATTAAATGTCTCAAATCAAATCAACATCAAACTTAAATCTAAAGACAGACGAATGCCAATTAAGCTATGAAGTTTGCGGTTAAGAGTCTAAGATAATTGATCATAGAATAGTATCTCTTCTCATTTCTCGCCTTGAAGCATGGAGAAAGAAAGACCCTTATACTATGTTTGCCAAACTCTGCACCTTTTGACTTCCATCAACTTTAGCGTCTCAGTCTATTCTCTTGTGTAAGTTTTGACCTCTCCACTAACTGATTGAAGCCCAAAATAATGTAGTGTTCCCCAAGGTAAAACTGTAATAAGAAGGTATATTTTTCAACCATGTGTAACCCTGTTGAAGTTGAAACATTGTATCTTAGCAATTATGACTATGTAGTTAATGATATGATATGATTGTTGATCTGATTCATACATAATGGATGAATTATCTTGGGGAAGGTGATAGCTTTGCTCCAAAAGCAATTTGGTTTTTAAGAATAGTGAAGCTCATGAAACTACTGGCAAAGTGCCAAAATCTGAATATAGCTTTTGTAACCATGTAGCCTGGTAGTTTCAGTGAGCTCATCTTTTTGGCATTGAATGCAAGTGGATGTTGAGTTCCCAATATAAAAATCACTAAAAGACACCAGAAGGTGCACAACTCATGCCAACTTGTGTTTGTGACCTCACTATATGTACACACGAGTATGAGCAGCTCTGAACTCACCCTGCTGAATGCAGTTGGATTTTTCTGCACCACTCTTCAAGCGGTGTTGCCATTATATGACATGACACCAGTGTGAGCTTGGTGCAAGCAGATAACAAGTGTCCATTTTGTTCAATAAGAAATCTCAGTTTTGGACATAACCACTTTCACATGCCATAAAAAGGTTTAGCTATGATAAACATTCCTTGTAATAGATAGTTTAGGTTCTTTTACATTTTTTATACCTCTGAAAAGTTAGTGTGGCCAAATTTTAAGGCCTCCCTGGAGGTTGACAAAATACGTGTGAATCTCTTGTGGTTTTTGTAGTGCAAGACAGTAAGCACTTAGGGGGTGCAATCCATGAATTTTCTAATAGTTTTTCTCTCTGTGAAGTGGCTAAGTATATGATATTTATTCAACCAACCAGCACTTGAATGTTGATTTTGTCAACTTGAACATGGCCACTGGTCGTTGCCATGACTTTGCCATCTCACTCCAATCTTTGGTGCTTCTATTTTACATTTCATTTATGCATCCACCGACTCATGCCATTATTTTTCCCTTGGACAGCCTGTTTTGTTGAATAATAACACATCATGGACATTTTTCTTTTTGAAAACAAGAAAAAGGTACCCATCAATCAATTCAGTTTAGGTCTCCCAAGATTTCTCAATTCAGTGCCTTTATGCTGGATTGACTCTGTTCAAAAGTGGCTAATGGACAAAATTAAAATGTAATGCAAGAGCCAGCTAGAAGCTACTGATTACTGTTTTAGAATTTCACTTAACACTGACTAATTTATCATTTTGTATCCTAAGATCACTCCTTCTACGCTACTCCATCCACTCTGGTGCTACCAACCAATGTCTCATAGATCACTAAGGCTACTCAATCTTAACCTCTTTTGGGATAATGCTTTTTTCAAGTTGCATTTTGTTAATCGTATAGATCTTATTTGTATCAATAAAACGAAGAAAGAAATTTCTTAAAACGTGCTTTTCATATAATGGGTGTGATTTGCTTATTCTAGAAGTGTGTTAAACAACTTTGTGGCATCTTTTGTAAGTAAAACCTATCGGTTTTCAACCATTTTATTTGTTTTAATCGAATTTGGACGGAGTGTTTTAATCCGAGATAGAGTATAAAGCTTTCAAAATCTGAGTTGTTGCCTTATTGACAAAAAAATTACATCTAAATTTAGTAAAATCATTTGGCTTTCGATAATATTACATAGTTTAAGAGTAGAATTAAAAGTAATTTAAAAACTTTTCTTTTGTCACCATCTGAAGCAATTTGTTTTAGAATAAAATTATAGTAAGAGTTTCAGGTTCTGAATAATATCTCAGATGCTTGACTTTAATAATATTATGATTCATTTATATTTTATTTATAAAGATTATCTATTTAATAGACTTTTAATATTTAATTAAAAAATGTATCCTATCAACATTTTTACCTTTAATTTTGGGGAAACACAAATCCGTTCTTCATTTGGAAGATTCAATCTAAGAAAAGCGGAAATTAGAAAAAAAAAAAAAAACATCATGAGACATGATCATTGCATGCCAGCACAGAAAGTGTTTGCGGAACTTGATGTTTAAGCTTTGACGGTGTTTCTTTACTTTGGGCGTGCCGTCATTTTAGATGTGTCGCCTTTGTTATTGTCTTTATACCCTTATAACCAGAAATTATTTAGGATAATCTCTTCACTTCTTCGTCTTAATCGTGTATTTCTTCATCTTTGTCAACAACAATAATTTCATGCAGACAACTTTTACTCTCTTTTTTTTTTTTTTGCCAATTTGATTTTATTCTACAAATTTCCATATTGGACATTTGGGCTAAATCTCCCTCTATCTAATTTCATCTGTTGATACATGAAGTATGTGTATGACAATGACCAAGAATCTTACAAGATATTCAAAATCAAATTTGATCTCATTTTTATGGTCTTCCATCATTTCATATTGCTAGTGAAACAAAGTATTCCCTTGCGAAAATAAAATAAAATCTTGCAATATTCTCATATCCCATAAATTGGAGCATCCTATGCTTATAACTTTTAACTCTTCATAATCATGAACCTTTTTTTGCATTGGGTGGGTTGAATTGTATCTTGCCATAGTCATCTAACACAAACATATTAATATAATTCCTTAAACCCTGTAACATTTTGGGGTAAAAAAGCATGACAACAAAAGGAAAATCGAGCAACTAATTGGATATGAATGATCATTTGCAATATTTTATTTTTCGTAGTATACACAACTAGGCATAATTTAAAAAATCCAATTGTTTTATAAAGTGGTGGGTATGATCAAAACTCAGTGGACTACATTCATATGTTTATGCTCTAATGATTAAAAATACTATGATGTCCAATAGTTCCATTAATATCTGTCATTTCTGAAAAATGATTGGTTTACCAAATAAGTGGGGGAATAAAAGAAAAGAACCACATGACAGAAGATCATAGTGAATTATTAAGTTTGAAAATCTATGGACAAAACAAAATCAAATGTTGTAACAAGATAACTTCTATCAGTCTCTTGACACATGTTTACATTCAGTCGAGAACATAACTTAGCATTGAAGAAGCAGCGAAAATTGAAAAGCCTACAACATAGCTTGAGTGGAGTTGGACTCTGAAAGCATGTGAAACCCACTGATCCAAAAGGAAACTGATATAGCACTATTATTATAGTTGCCATGAAAATGAAGGAGTTGTTTCAACAGATGAAGATGATTTTTACACGCTGAAAAAGCAACAAGAAGTTACACATTGAGTGAAAAAGTTGCAGAGGTAGTGCTCCCTACTGTTTTTGCTGCTTACTTGAGTTAGAACACAAGCATGCTGCTTGGAATGAAACCTGTGTCCTTTTTTCTTTCTCTCTCATTTGTGTCTATATCATAAGCACTAACATATACACAGGACCAGACACAGAAAAAAGAGGTGATTCCAATGAGATTATTGGTTTCAATTTTATTATTGATGTTGTTACATATCAGGTTCATAAAACATATATTTCAATTTTCAACACTCCAGTAAAAAAAATATGTGACTTATCTACAAATATTTACATACGGATTTGAATAAACAGGTATTACATACACATTTTACTTACAATGTAAAATTGAGTTACATATAGATTTTTTTGTAAATAACATAATAAATATTTTTTATTGATTTTTCATATGTAAATTTTGTATGTATATTTAGCGTGTTAGAACAAGAATATTTGTAAAGGATAATATCCGTAGGTAATGGTACAAGATCTATATGTAAGTAAAAAGGATTTACCTACTAATTTTACATATGAATTTAAAAATAATTAATTATTAAAAACAAAAACCAAGGTCTCTCACGCTCACTAACTCGAAATTTTTGTTGTTCACACTCTCTCACTCCAAAAGAAGAAATCCTTACAACTCACTCACACATGGAGAACAAACCTTTTATTCTTCGTTCTTCACTCTTCTGATAGAGAAAAAACCGTCACACTCCTCAGTGCTCATTCTTCATTCTCCTCGCATTTGTATCCTTCAACCACACAATGTCAAAATCGTGTATCATGTATCGCCTCCACCGCTCATGCCTCCTCTGCATTGATCTGCCCCTTGTCGAGCTCGTTACAGATAGCTCAACTTCTAATGTTCTCACCCTTGTTGCTGTACCATAGAGCTTTCATCCCACAACCACCACCGCGTCTTCAAACCTCCAGCGAGGCTTACCAAGGTTATGTTAGCAATAGCTTGATGTAAAGCTTAAAGGACTTTGATGCTGAAGTACTCAAAGACTGGAAGCAACTAATACTCTTTAGATTAATGTAATACTCAATTTGTAATAGTTAAGTTATTAGAATAACTAGATACACATAAAGATCTAGAAATATATTATTT